GGACTTGTTTTTTGTTTTCACATAAATATTTAAAAGATATTAATTGTTTTTGGCACTATTTTTGTTACTTATACACTATAGAACCTTAGTATTTTATTTTCTTTTGAGGGTGGCGGAGGGGTTTATTATCATCTGTAAACTTTAACAAGGGTATGTCACACACATGCATAGACATTACACACACAGGCACGCACATACACACTCACACAGGCACAGAAGCAAACATACCAAGAATGTTATTTAATGTTTAACTACAATTTGCAATTTTATATGTATACCTATGTACCTTTTGCTTAATTTTATGGAACTCGGTAACGGATTGTTCTTAGTACAGGCTTTTTAAGTAACCTAACTAGAATGTATAAGACTATAATGTAACATTACTTAATTAATTAAGGGGGGGAATATTTTGGGAGGACCTGAAATAACATGGTCCGGGTCCATGGTCGGGATGGTTTTTAGTGGAATCACCACATACTCCTGGCTCCTGAGTCCCCCGAGGAGCAGGAAATCCAGAGAGATTTTTCCTACCCGTCAACAAAAAAAAAAGGTCTATAATGTAAAAGGTTTTTATTTTTATTATAGTCCTGCCCTATAAAATAATGATATTCTAATAAGATACTTTATGAAGTTTTGGATTACTCGTAAAAATAATCTTACAGTTCTTGCATACAATATCCTTAAGCCTGTATCTACAAAGAGACAAGTAGATGTGTTTAAAAAATCCAAAATTCACCATTTATGGAGTAAGCATATTATTTCAAACAAAATTGTAAATATTGGCAGAAGTAAGTTATTCAGGAGGGAACTTAGAAATGGTAGTTATAATAAAGAATGTCGTTCATATGAATGAGTTCAGGCATGTAAGCAACAATTCCAGCAGGTCAGAGTTGTATATTTGTACTTGAACTGGCTTTTTCCAGGCGGTTCGAGCACTCTTACATTCTTATAAGGTAGTTATCAATGTGGTGACGGATTACCAATTACGGAGTGTCACCATCCCTAATTATCACGTGGGTATAGTAAGAGCTGACCAAGGGAGCAAACTATGCAGGACAACAGCACTGCAAAGAGAAGGAAAACTTGACAACAAGTCTATACCAAACAGTGTGTTGGCAGTGTGGTATAGTAGGCCAAAAACTCATTTCTAAGGAGAGGCTTATGTCCAGCAGTGGACTATTAAGGGTTGTTGGTGTGATGATGATGATGTAGCTAGTTTTTGGTTAAAATTTTTTGGGTTTGAAATTTTGACAAAAAAATTTTTTTAATACTCTCATATAGATTTTAAAAGGAAAATAGCTATTTTATTGTAAACCAAAAAAATTAACAGGGTTGGTTGTACAAAAAACCCAAAAATTTGGATGTTTTTCAAGTTTCATGAAGTGCTAAAAAGATTTTTATGAGAAACTATTTACAAAAAAAAAACAAAAAATTTTTTGCAAGGGTTTTTTTTTTAAAATATTGTTTTTAACCCTTTTGATAATCTTAAAATTTCTTTACAAAATGTAACCTGCCCCCCCAGTTTTCAGTCCAATTGCATCAAAGTTACACCCGTGGGCGACAAAAAGCCCCTAGCTCACACATAGTACGCATTTAAAAGTATACTAACAGTAGCAAACTCAAAAAATTGATTTGAGTAGACATTGAATGAAGAAATTTTAATTTGGTTTGTTTAAATTTTTACAAAAAAAAAGGGGGTTTTTTTCGTCCCCCAATAGAGCCCTTTCCCCCCATTTACGAGAAAAAGTGCAGTAAATTTTAGGGGGGAAAACGAAAACAATTGTCTTTATACCTAATCAGTCGAAATTTTTTAAACCAAAAAAAAGTACGGAAAAAATATCCCACTAGAGGGATGTGTCCCAAAAAAACAAACCCCGGGTTTTTAGTAAAAAAAGTACGTTTTTTAAAATGGTTAGTGTTTAAAGTTATTTTTTTTTAAAAAACCCCGTTTTTTGCCCCCCAACATCTTCTAGTTGTAGATTTTAAAAAAGAGTTTATATTGAAAGTTTGGGAAACCTGACCGCGTGCCCATGAAAGCCCTTTGGGAAAGAATGGAAAAAAAAAACTGTAACAAAAAGACCCCGACTACACTATTGAAAATCCAAATGACACCCTTTTTTTACAATATAAAATATGTAAAAAGATAGAGCAATTAAAAAACAAAACCACAGTGATACGCGACATAAAAGACAAAAGGGTACCCCACCTTTCTCTTATTAAAAGTTTGGGAGCAAGTTTTTAAAAAACAGCAAAAATTTTTCCCCCTGCCAATCGTTTTCTCCCCCGCTCGGAATTTCCAAAAACATACGAGCTTGGGCTATCGGGAAATGTTTGGGTTTTTTTTTCATTGGTTCAGTTGTGGGCATTATCGTGTGAAACTTTAATAATTTCCCTGACCCAATTACCCCCCCGAGCGAAATTCGTTTTTAGGGGTTTAGTTCATACCGAAAATGCCCCCCAATAGGGGCCCCTTCATCACGTCCCTTTTGCCCCGGGAATTTCCCTCTATAGCCGCGAAGTTTAATTTAAATAAAAAACTACATTATTCATTTTAATTATTTTTCCCCCCACAAATCCCCGTCGAAAACATTTAAATTCAATGGAGGATCTTTGTTCAAAACTAACCAGAAGACTTGTTTTCTTATTTTCAAATAAATATTGGCCTGTTGGTCTAGTGACTGCTAAGCCAGAGGTCTTGGGTTCGATTCCCACCCAGGACAAATATTGTGTGATGCGCATGATCATTTGTTCTGTGTCTGGGTGTAATTTATCTATAATATGTATGTATTTAAAAATATATAAGTATGTTTATCAGCAGTCTGGTTGCCATAGCACAAGCTCTGCCTAGTTTGGGATCAGCCATGTGTGAGATGTGTTAGGTTTATTATATTTAAAAGATATTAATTGTTTTTGGCACTATTTTTGTTACTTTTACACTATAGAACTTTAGTATATTATTTTCTTTTGAGGGTGGGGGAGGGGTTTATTATCATCTGTAAACTTTAACAAGGGTATGTCACACACGTGCATAGACATTACACACACAGGCACGCACATACACACTCAACAGGCACAGCAGCAAACATACCAAAAATTTTATTTAATTTTTAACTACAATTTGCAATTTTATATGTATACCTATGTACCTTTTGCTTAATTTTTTGGAACTCGGTAACGGATTGTTCTTAGTACAGGCTATTTAAGTAGCCTAGCTAGAACGTATAAGACTATACTGTAAAATTACTTAATTAATTAAGGGGGGGAATATTATGGGAGGACCTGAAATAACATGGTCCGGGTCCATGGTCGGGATGGTTTTTAGTGGAATCACCACATACTCCTGGCTCCCCGAGGAGCAGGAAATCCAGAGAGATTTTCCTACCCGTCAACAAAAAGAAAGGTCTATAATGTAAAAGGTTTTTATTTTTATTATAGTCCGTTTATTATAGTAGTAGTAGTATATAGTATTCTAATAAGAAACTTTATGAAGTTTTAGATTACTCGTAAAAATAATCATACAGTTCTTGCATACAATATCCTTAAGCCTGTATCTACAAAGAGACAAGCAGATGTGTTTAAAAAATCCATAATTCACCATTTATGGAGTAAGCATATTATTTCAACAAAATTGTAAATATTGGCAGAAGTAAGTTATTCAGAGGGAACTTAGAAATGGTAGTTATATTAAAGAATGTCGTTCATATGAATGAGTTCAGGCATGTAAGCAACAATTCCAGCAGGTCAGAGTTGAATATTTGTACTTGAACTGGCTTTTTCCAGGCGGTTCGAGCACTCTTATATTCTTATAAGGTAGTTATCAATGTGGTGACGGATTACCATTACGGAGTGTCACCACCCCTAATTATCACGTGGGTATAGTAAGAGCTGACCAAGGGAGCAAACTATGCAGGACAACAGCACTGCAAAGAGAAGGAAAACTTGACAACAAGTCTATACCAAACAGTATGTGGACAGTGTGGTATAGTAGGCCAAAACCTCATTTCTAAGGAGAGGCTTATGTCCAGCAGTGGACTATTAAGGGTTGTTGGTGTGATGATGATGATGTAGCTAGTTATTGTAAAAGATTTTGGTGTAATTTGACATAAAATCTTAATAATATTCTCATATAAACTTTATAGAAAATCGCTATTTTATTGTAAACCAACCAATTAACATGTGGTTGTACAAATAAACATATATTTGGATGTTTTTCAAGTTTAATGAAGTGCTAAACAGATTCTGATGAGAATCTATTTGCAAAAAATACAAAATTTTATGCAGTTTTTTTCTTAACTGATTGTTTAACTTGTGATAATCTTAACTTTCTTTACAAATATGTCACAGTGCCACAGTTTTCAGTCCAATTGCATCAAAGTTATACCAGTGGGCGACAGAGCCACTAGCTCACACATAGTACGCATTTAACGATAAACTAACAGTAGCAAACTCAATAATTGATCGAGTAGACATTGAATGAAGATTTCAATTGGTCGTAATTGTTACAAAAAATACGCTTTTATTCTGTCCAGTAATAGAGTCCTTCCCGCCATATTACGAGAAATGTGCAGTAAATTGAGGCGAAAACGAAAACAATTGTCTGTATACCTAATCAGTCGAAGTTTTTCATCCAAAAATGTACGAACAATTATCCGACTAGATGGAGATGTGTCGAAAACACAACCCGGTTTGTAGTAAACAATGTACGTTTAAACTGGTTAGGTGTAATGTTATTTTTTTAACAAACACGTTCTCGCCCCTCATACATCTGCTAGTTGTAGATTTAAAACGAGTTATATTGTAATGTTTGGCAAACCTGACCGCTGTGCCGATGAAAGCCTTCGGACGAATGGAAAAAACCACTGTAACACAAGTACCCCGCACTACACTATTGAAAATCGCACTGACACCTTTGGATACACTATAAAATATGTAATAGAGCATAGAGCAATTAAACACTAAAACCACAGTGATACGCGACATAACGACAATAGGGTACGCACCTTACTCTTAGTTATAACGTGTGTAGCAAGTTTTACAACAGCAAAGTTTCCCGTGCCAATCGTTTTCTCCAGCTCGTAATTTCCAACACATACGAGCTGGTCTATCGGGAAATGTTTGTTTTTGTGCATTGGCTTCATGTTGCTGGCCATTATCGTGTGAAACTTGAATAATTTCCCTCGACCTCACATTACCCACCGAGCGAAATTCGTATACTGGCTTTAGTTCATACCGACTGCCGCAATAGCGCCACTTCACTCACGTCATTCGCCTCGGGAGGTTCATCTATAGCCGCGAAGTTTCATTAAATAAACACTACATTATTCATATTTAATTATTATTTTCACACACAAATCACGTCGAAAACATTATTAATCTAATGGAGGATCTTTCTAATCATAACACGAATGTCAAACAAGTATTGACAGTCATTCTTATCAGTGTTTCTCTTATCAATACGTAGGGATTGAATTGAACGACACTGGTTCATGAAAATAAGAACTCGATTCACAACCTTTACTCGACTTGTACTATCTCTTTCTACGCGATTCATGTGTCAATCGTTAGAATGAGAAAGATACACAGAACACCGTCAGCCGGAGATGTGGTGACGTCAGGCGGTCGAACTGACGTCACAAGCGGCAATTTCAAACTAAAGGACGGTGTGGGGACTACGTCAGTAGAAAATATCGATTTTTGTGTTTGTCAAGTGCAACTTTCAATATGATTATGCTATAAAATTCATCGTTAAAGAAAATATCTACCTAGTATTACTAACAAACATATTACAAATAACTTCGTAATTGCTTCATTTCTACGTGTAAGTAAATGAAAATTCAAAGTGGATTTTTCCGTTCAATATTTAATTATATCTTGATTTTTCTTCCCAAACAGATAAATCGTAAATTAATAGCAGTTATTGTAAGTTAGAAGAAATTTTAAAAAATAATTTTCAAGATCTTGTAATTTGTTAGATTAAACAGAAATACATAAGTAAATGGGAGCCATTCATTCATAGTGTTCTATTCAACTTCAAAAGAAATCGATTTTATATTTATTGTTAACAGCACCATCTAGTGATAGTACTTATAAATGAATTTAATAAATGAAAACAAGATTGTTGTAATGCACCACGAAACTAAAAGTTTCGTATTCTATCGTAGAGATGTCACTATAAACAGATTTAAAATTATGGTGTGTAGAGGTCGAGCAGGCTTCTAAATTCTTCTAATAAAATAAAAGTGTATTCAATATAAATCCATATTTTCACAGACTGTGGGAGGCAGTTTTACTAATTACCTATCTTTATGCATTCTAATGAGTATAAGAACGTTCTTCCCGAAAAGAACTACCCTATTATTATAAGCTAGAGATCTCTAGCGGTTTTTGGAATTTGTAGCATGTTTTCGGGACGGTAGGGGTCAGGATGCACCTTGCCCAGACAGGAGCTCGAGTTCTGGATTTTCCTGGGCCTGTCAGCCTTACAGTCCTGGTGACAAGACCGATGAGGTGTTTTAGACGCCTAGCGACGGGACACACACTCGTCAAGTGTACAAGTTGTTTTGACTTTGTTGCCGTTGTGGTCGACCGGGCCACAGGGCGCCAGAGAGCTCTGCCGCCTCTCACTGCCCGGCGTGTGTAATAAACAAGCCGACACCCAGATGGGGCAGGGAGGCTGCAAACATCCCCGCGATTCTTGGTAAGCGTCGGGGGCTAGTCAGTCGATATGATGCCGAAGAGTGGGGGAGGGGGGGATCACCAAATATGTTTGTTATGTTGTTTACTTCTCCCACAGACGAAACAACCGGACCTCGGGCTCTGCAGGCTCGAGCGCCACCGCGCTCGCCAGCGTCGAGTAAGAGACCAAACGCCGCACACAGCTCTTACGGCTGCGTCCACCCTCGTGGCCTGCGGGCACCTGTGCCTACTTGGGCCAAGCAGGCGCACCGTGCGCGGGCGGGGAGGGCTGCCGCCACAGCAGGAGCAATACAACAAGGCACTTTGCAAAGAATTTGGGGGAACCGCACGTAAGTCGCCGCCTCTGTCACTGATCGCTCGATTTGGGCCTGGAGTCTCACCTGGCTCGGGCTCGACCGAAACGGTCCCCTACAGAACAACCAACACCGTCAAGGTAATATAATGACCTACCCCTGTTTAGGGGTAGCAGTAGACACCGCTGGCAGGGGGCAAAAGCCACCAGCCACCACACGTCCCCTGCGGGGCGGTGTGAAGACCAGCTCTAGTATGACAGATCAAGACTGGAGTTCAGATCAAGGCGATTGCTAATTAAACCGTGGAGTCTTACGAACCCATAGTACAGTGCACAGTGGTTTTATTTTGATCCCTACTAGTCACTCACCCAGTCCAAAGATACCACGCTTGGTATCATACAATGGTTGTTAATTAGATACTACATGTTTGATACTAGTACAAATTGAGTCGTAACCTTCCGACTTGGTGTTTGCAAGAGGTATGGTTACCTTATGCATATAAGTTTCAAAAAGATAGTTTGATTATTTATTGTTGATCGAATTCGAAAAGTTCCGATATATATCTATGTTGTACGTATATACACAATATATGTTTATTTTATATATAGTTATATTATCAATGTATTTCAACTTAAACTAAACTCTCGTGTAAACGGGGCCAATACTCGTATATGTAGATACTTAAAAACAGAGGTGTCGGTAACAGTTCAATGGTTTTTTCCTCCATCTCAAAAATGCATTATTTTGTTTGTTGTTCAAAAATGGCAAACGCGCCTAAAGATTTCACTTTTTTCTATGCGGAACGCCTCTCGGATACCACCCACCAGTGGGTGATTATGTCGGACTCGAACCGACCAAAAACCGCACGCCGTCTCCAGGTACCAGTAGCCGGGGAACCAGGTATACCCTAGAAAGGAAAGCCCTAGTACCCCGACGTAAATTTTTCTCTTAAAAAAAACAAAAATACGTGTGGCACTGGGGGACTGCCGCGGTAAAGTTATTGCATAGCATTTTTTATCAACTTAGTATTAAATAATTATCTCAGGAAAACGCTATAGAATTTTGCCCGGCTCCGGAATCTAACCCACTAAGGCAGTGTTTTCAAATTCCACACGAACAAAGTCCCGGGTACCAGCTAAAAAATCTGTAGGGGCTAGATTGTTCGTCTCCTTTTCCCGTTTCAGACGAACCCAAACATGGGTCCAAGTGCAAGTCCAAGTGCTCCAAGTACCGAGAAAATCAAAGGGGGGATAAATGAAAAAAGTGGAGGGGAGAGAAGGGGAGGTATTTTGAAGGGACCTCATTGCAATTATAAATTTTTTGGTGGGTGGTGGTATTGTATGTGAATGTTATGACATGAATAAAAATAAACTGGTCTCCCCCCCTTTTGTCAGGTCAAAGGAACACCCTACCTTAAAAAAAGTTCTGCTATTCATCGATAGATGGCAAAACTAAAAAGTATTACCGCTGTGGCGGTCGGAGTGGGAGGTGTTAGGTTATTTTCGTTACGGAATTTTTGGATTCGGTCTCCACGCTTAAGGCCCGCGATAGAAATAAAAAATTCTTCACTTATATAAAATAGATACATCTCAAAGCAATAGTAACAAATTTAACAAGTTAACAGTCCGGTGTTTTTTTAATGTTAGAGGGGGCTGACGAGCAGACGAATCACCTGATGGAAAGTGACTATCGCCGCCCTTGAACGTCTACAACTCAGGAGTCACAAACGCGTTGCTGGCCTTCTCTTGTAGGAGTACGCTCTTGAAGGTCGTATCGGTCCGGAAATACCCGGAATATCCGAAAAAGTGTCCCCCTCCTGTGGAACATAGGGTACGACTAGGCCCTTCGAGTTAATTTCCCCCCTGGGCTGGTTGTAATTTATTACGCCGATGATACTTGGATCACAACCCGGGGGGCGAACTTTCAAGATCTCAGGGGAATCTCACTGGTGGTCGGGCGCATTGAGTCGATGGACTTATGGGTGGCCCTAGATAAGACGGAGGCTGTCTTATTCCATGGGCCCTGTCGTGGTCCACCCACCGGTGCCTCAATCGTGGTCAACTCGGTATTCTCACCGGTTCAGGCCCAGATATTTTATTTTATTATCCTCGATCGGAGGTGGCTCTTCGACGAGCACTTCCGACAGCTTGCTTCAAAGCTGGTCGGCGCTGCGTCTGCCCTTGGGCGACTTTTACCTAATCTGGGTGGACCCATCGTCGTAACGAGACGGCTGTACACAGGGTTACTTCCGTACACAGGGTACACGGTTACTTCCTTTCTAGGGTATACCTGGTTCCCCGGCTATTAGTACCCGAGACGGCGTGCGGTTTTAGTCAGTTCGAGTCCGACATGCCACCGACAGGTGGTATCAGAGGGGATTTCCGCACGGAAAAAAAAAGGGGTTGTCCGGTCAATGGCACTGTACGGTGCACCAGTGTGGGTGGTGGCTCTGACCGATCAGAATAGGGCACGCCTACGGCACCCTCAGAGGATATCATCTACAAGCCGTAGATGGATTTTATCTATATATTAGGTCTTTACCTATGAAATTGCCGTTTTGTATGCAATAAGTGATAGTACTTATTTTTTCAAACTTTTTTATTTCTGTTATTCGAAGTAATCACCCATGCAATCGACGCATCTTTGCCAACGCATTGGCAGTTTATTGATGCCCTTCTTGTAAAAATCAGCTGGACGGGAGGCAACAAACTCTTCAAAGGTATTTTGTACTGCCTCTCGGGAATTGAATTTTTTACGCACTAAAGAGTTGTCTAAATTTTGGAAAAAGTAATAGTCGGTAGGTGCAAGGTCTAAATACACACGAAACCCACCTTCTGGCAGTGAGTTAAAATCGTACAGAGGTGTAAAATAAAACAACTTTATAATAATTTACTCATTAAATATATAGTTCTATAATAGTAATCTGTTTCGTATTTTTACATAAAGTGTCGACGGTAACGCCGACATTTTTACAATTTATAAATAATTATTACAATAAATTATTTTATTTATCATAAATACATAACGTTGTCCACACTACGATTTAGCAATCTTTGGTTAAAATTAAGATTTCATTGAGCTAAGTTATAAAAACAATATAACAAATGATAAAATTATACAAATAGAAAACAAACAATCACGCTTAGAGCGCGTTCACACTGCCGGGTGGCCGAAAGCCGGTTTCGGCCTGTGACACACTAATTATTATTGACTATTTATTCGGCCGTAAATGTAAACGCGACAAACAAAGCATTAACTAGATAGCTTTTTATATCTATATGTTAGAAATTCCTGTGAAAATCGATTAACGTCGTCCCGCTTTGTAACATTGGTGTTCTAAGACATTTGATAGATTCAACTCACTGATGAATAAATTGTTCTAAGGAGAGGGTTATGTCCAGTAGTGGACTAGTAAAGGCTGTTGATGATGAATTGAAATTTCTTTAATAACAACAATATTACGATGTTTTGACCCCAATAATATGTGCATGAGGCGCCAATAAATCATTATTTAATAGATATATTCCTTTAAAAATGGATACCTAGATTTTTAGGGTCGTGATATTGTTTAAATTTAATAAACATACAACTGAGAATAAAAAAATAGATCTATCACTACTGAAGTGAAGCCAACTGATGTCGCCAAAAAGTCTTGTTACACATTTTTCGGTCTCATCGTGTAACGCGCGATAAGAACCTTCGTCCCAATAAAATATGACTTAAGTCGTCTAATAAAAAACAGCCAAGATGGCTGATAATACTGTTGATTTGTGAATTTTATACACTACAGAATAATACTTTGTTGAGAGGTTATTTGTCGTATTTAAGTGAGATATTGAACAGTTAAACCGTTTAATTTTTACCATTTCCAATAATAAGCCTTGAAAAGGACCTATAGAGGCCGAATTTTTTTTCTATGAAATATTTAATAGGTTATAATGTAACCAAGAAACGATAACATCATCAGTAAATATCAAAATCTTTCGATACAACTTTTCGAGTTTCTTTAATACACATTAATACTTGTGTACAAGTATTGTTAAGTACCTTAGAACCTTAGTACCTTAGAACACCAATGTGACATCGCCTTTATAACAAAGTCAAGCTGCCGCCCGCAGTGTCATACAAGCATTAACATTCATATATTTTTATTTTGAACACACCATGTCCTCAACGACGTTACAAAGCTAAAATTGTGATACCTACATATTAATATATTAAAAAGAAAAATAATACCATTTTGTAAATACTTGTATATTTTTTTATATCTTATATTGTAGGCGATCACAATTTTCAGAAGCATCCTCTGTGGGTTATTTCTCTAATACAATTTTATTAACGTAATATATATATATATATTTGTACCATAATTATCAATCGCAATGGTATCTTATTAATTACTATGTAATTAGTAATTGTAATACCATTGATGTCGGTGCGTCGCCGGAGCGGATACGGTCAGTAGCAACCGAACCGTCGGACGAGCACGACGCATTTGAACGTCGAATTCAATTGTAAATAAAAACGCCACAGCGGCATGATACATGATTTAGCATTAAATATATTTTTATAAAGGAACTGTGATGTAGCTGCCTGACCGGTTTCTGTATGTTTTATTTATTTATTTACATATTTTGTATTATTATTGAAAAGAGATTCTTAATTGACTGCAGTAGTCCTGCCGAAATAAATTAAATATAATTTTTGTAAATTTTATTCAGTTAATGTTACCATACGACCACCGGTAAGACAACGTAATGTCTATTCATAGACAACTCAAAAACAAAGAGGAAATGTTAAATTTATTGTTGTTGTAAAAATATTAATTACAAATTTAATTTAATGGACGTGTAACAGTTCCGTGGCAAGTAAATTAAAGTCAGGGCTGTCAATGGCAGAGATTAATTTAGACTATGCGTAACACTGCTATGGGTTCTACCTTGTTTTCTTATGGGCAATTCTTTTGAATTTCCTAGTGCCCAGTTGGGAGAATATGGGTGTTTTACAATTCTCTGTACCTACTTTTTAAGGGTGAGGTCATATGTGGCAAGCCCTAGCGTCGGTATTGCTACAGTATAAAAAACGTCACCTAGACTCCTCTTTGTTTATGGGTCGTGTAACCACCCAGCAACCATAAAATGCATAATATCTAACAAGTACCACACACTCACTTCGAAAAAGCTATCTATAAAATTAGAAAATAAAAAGCAACAATTAATATAAACATTTTTAGTAATAAATTATGAGGAGGGGATATTACAAATGGCCACGTTGTGAAAGCGACGCTGTGGTGTAATGTATTATGTTATCAAATTACATGAGTCGGCTAACTTTAGACGATTCGGGTAACTTTGGCCACTATTGTAACTTATATAAAATGTGACTCTCGAAGTTAATATTACGCCACAACGCCGTAAAAAAAAGATCACTAATCATTATAATTAAGCTATAACATCATTTTAACTATCTAGATTACCTTTCCACGACATTGCATTGCTTGTTAAATTTTAACAAAATTACGACAACAAAACCATCTACCGGCGAATAGATGTAACATGGCGATTAAGTGCAGCGCCATCTAGCGACTTCAACTAATATTAAATGCGTTGACAGTACGCAGTATCACAGCGGGTGCTGGGTGCTGAACCTCAGTTTAAGGTCCTCCACTATAGAACAGGTGCAATACATAAACAGATCTCTCCATACAGCAGGTGAATTAACAACGCCTTATATTTGTGTGGCGATTAAGTGTTTTCATACAAAAGAGATGAACTGCTCATTCTCTTACTCAGAGATGCAGACGAGTAAGAACTTCTCTTTTGAATAACAGATTATAAGAGCTCGTAAGAGTCGAGATTAATATGAAAAAAAAAAAATATCATGATAATAACTTTTTCATGCAGGTATATTTTCGAGCCTCCTGCTGTATAGAGCAGTGAGAGGCGCGGCAGCCTCCCGCCCCAGGGTGACTACACCCCGGGATGTGCCTCAGACATGGGGTACGGCAGAGAGGACTCCACAAGCCGCCGATGCGTTCCTGGAGCTCCTCCTGACTGCCGAGGTAAGCCGTCGCGGGGTTTAGTGGGTAAACCTGTTCTCCGGGAGTCCCACACAAGCCGTGCGGTTACCCAACGGAGGTTAATGGTGCGAAAAGCACTCCCGCATTAAAAAAAAGGTATTTTTTCGAAGTCGCTAGCATGCAGCGCAATAAAATAACCGCATTAATATTTGTAACAATATGAACAAACAAACGCCCAATCAGCCATTATATAATTTACTTTAAAAAACTATATCCCTCAGTCATTGCGGTAATAACTCGAAAATTAAGGTATATCAAAAATAATAACTATGGTTTCATAGTAACTCAAATAAAATTTAACAGAACACTGATAAAATATGGAGAGGCCTATGTCCAGCAGTGGACTATTAAAGGCTGTTGATGTGATGTGATGTGATAAAATATAAATATATATTTTATCAACGATTTGCTGAAATGCTGAGTTCCAGAGCTGGCAACACTGATATTCTAGAATCTTTTTTGGAGTTTCTTTTGACAGTTTTACGACCGCAGATAACAAATATTTTAACATTTGGCTAATTGTCGGTAAGTAAATAATATTTTATACATATTTAAGCACCTGTGAATTTAAAAATTATACAAATTTATATTGATTATTTGATATTGATACAGGGTGTAAGGGACGTTGTAATGAATACTGAAATAGTGTATTCAGACCGTAATTTTGAGTCGAAATAAACGTTTTATGTAAGCAACTGACAAAAGTGGCCTCGTACTTGTCTGTATATTAAAGTATTCGATTTACTCATTGCGATATCATTTTCAACCAAAAATTGAAAAATTTAATAATAATGGAAAATTTAAAAAAGAATGAAAATTTTACGGCAAAAAATTCTGATGATATTCGATTCAGAATGATGGTCTGAATACGCTTTCAGAGTTACGCCGTCCCTTACACGCTGTATAGTGTAGAAATCTATATCGGTAAATAGTGTTCAGGTTTTATCTTATGAACGAAAAAATTATAACAATTTAGTTGAAGAATGTATTTTTTAGTTGTATTTATGCAATTGTGTAAAAGCTTTTTAAAGATTATTTGACTAAAGTACCACAACCCACTGTTTTTGTACTGTCACACTTCAAGAATTAAATTTTGTTAAAAAAAAACTGTCGGAAATTTTTATCTAGATATTTATTTAATCTGTTGAATCATTGAATGAGGATTGACGCTTTAAGAGGTGATTGCGGAAGATCTGAGAATGTTGCGATACTATATTTGACAGTCTATGGCTAAATGATGGTGGTTTTGGATAACAATGAACTCCGTGGAGGGAGGGTTTAGGGGGGCAAACATAATATGTCACACTTAGTTTATGCTTTTATACAAATAATGTTAGCGAAAATGGGCATTTGGTAGTCACACAAACTTTGTTAATTTTTTCTTAAATACTTACACAATAATTTGTACAATCTGTAGGGTACTTTAAAACTGTAATAATTAATATTTTATCTGACACATTGCGGCACCATGTACAGAATTTACTCTTGAGACGTGTCAAAAACGCAATATAATGTCATGCGGCGGGTGGCGGTACATTCGGTGACAGTACCGGTTCAACCGGTAAAACCGGTATTTTCGGTATCGATACCGGTTTTGCAGATAATGGTTCCTGCGTGACTGGTATACCTTTGGATTTATCTATGAACGATACCGGTTCGTTTTCCGGTAAAACTATTGGTTCAAACACATCATATTTGTGTGGTATTGATCCAAGCGGTAGCCACATATTATCATAAGATTCACACTGAACACAATTTACTTCAATAGATTCATTTATTACACCAGATAATATTTTTACATGTGTACATTTAGCTGGTTCATATACTGGTAAACACTTTTTAAAACTAACCGATTTATCTTGATCTATATTATAAGGCGTACGATTAACCGTATTTTTAACTACCGGTAGCGGTATTCGTAATGTACTTGTGTGAGTAATTACAGATACATTTGAAGTATAACCTACTGTAGTTACCGGTGTTTGTGACTTCACCGGTGTGACCGGTGTACGTGACGTCACCGGTGTGACCGGTGTACGTGATGTCACCGGTGCGTGCGGTGTATACTTGCGCTACGTGCTTCGTGTGCCGGCTAGTTCGTAGAACAGGACGTAAGCTTCTGATGATACCACGTTACGACTGTTGATTGGTAATACCCTGGAATGAGAAATGGATTGATTCATAATGGACTGCACGGATAGCGTAGTGGTTAAGCGGTCGTCACGCCGCTCACTACTACGCTGAGTGTTGTGGGTCCGATCCCCACATGGGACGACTTTGTATGATCTACAAATTGTTATTCTGAGTCTGGGTGCCTGCGACACAGGATATATTCCTAATGTTGTTGTTGAGTGGAGTTGTCTTTTAAAAGAAAGAATAACGTAAAGAGATGCCGCGGGCAAAAGCTAGTTAGGAAATCTATAGTGTCGGCACAATTGGGCTGGTTGGAGCAGAGTCATCTCTCCTCAGAAAAAAAACACTGGTGTTTAAGCATTTGTTTTATGGCTCTTCATAGAGTGAGTGAAGTTATCCAACCCCTCTTTGAGAGCATTGCAAGGGCACTAACACAATTGTATCTTTTACTGTGACTTGCAGATGTGCATTTTATTTTATAACTTTTTAAACATCGGAGGACTTAATGCTTAAGGCACTGTCTGCCAGTCATCCGATTGGGCGATGCTGAGAAGCAATGAGGTAGGCGCATTTATGGGGGGTAAAAAATGATAGATTTTTATTAAATATCAACTATTTTAACCTTTGAGTTGACAAATGTTCAAACTTGTGACAAGTTTAATCCTAAAGATATTTTTTTTAAAGGCTGACTAGCAACCAAAATTACTAGTATTCCCAACTAAGCTAAATTGCTTGTATTAGGAGTGGGTCAGGATTCGAACCCACGACCTCTTAATCGCAAGTCCAATGCTTTAACCACTAGGCCAAATCGAACCCAAACTAGACAGAACCTGTACTATGGTAACCAGACTGCTGATAAACAAACTTAAATTATTTTCTAGCTGTACCACGCCACGTTACGCTGTGGCACATTGTGGCTGCATTAATGAGAAGAAATTCAATGATACAAAAACTAAGTATAAACAATCTTTGAAGAGGTTTGTTTGTCTATGGTGTCAAAATTTGAGCTCAATCGGTGCAGAAATTTTTCATTTTAAACCACAAAGACACCAAATGATTGTGCTCATCACATGATTATTTGTCCTGGATGGGAAGCGAACCCACGATCTCTGGCTCAGCAGTGAGGATCACTAACCACTGAACCAACAGGCTAGTATCGACATACCTTGAATCATTATATTCATGCCACTCCCCATTGTAGGGATGTTTGCAGTAAGCTGTGTAGTGCCCGGAGTACGTAGTTCCTGCAACACAAACAAACATATATCATCATCAACAGCCTATAATAGTCCACTGCTGGACATAGGCCTCTACTTAGATAGGAGGTTTTGACCGACTATACTGACCAGACGGGTTGGTATAGGATTTGTGTCAAGTCCACGGGAGTTTCCCAGGTGGTCGGGCGCATTGAGGCGTTGGGGTTGCGGGTGGCCCTGGATAAGACGGAGGCCCTATTATTTCATGGGCCCCGTCGTGGTCCACCCGCCGGCGCCTCAATCGAGGTCGGCTCGGTCCTCGTACCGGTCCGGGCCCAGATGAGGTACCTGGGTCTGGTCCTAGACGGTAGGTGGCTCTTCGACGAGCACTTCCGACAGCTTGGTCCGAAGCTGGTGGACACTGCCTCCGCCCTAGGGCGACTTTTGCCCAATTTGGGCGGGGCCAGTGTTCCCACGAGGCGGCTGTACGCGGGGGTTGTCCGGTCCATGGCGCTTTATGGTGCACCGGTGTGGGTGGCGGCTCTGACAGCCCCGAATAGGGCGCGCCTCTGGCGCCCCCAGAGGATATTGGCGGTCAGAGCCATACGCGGATACCGCACGGTGTCCACCGAGGCGGCTTGCGCCTTGGCCGGAACACCCCCGTGGGATTTGGAGGCGGAAGTGCTCGCCGAAGTTTATCGGCGAGTGGCTGACTTCCGGGCGGAGAGCGGATTTCGCCCTCCGCCCGAAGACGTGCGCGAGTGGCGCGAAGCCGCTCGCCGAGCCACTATGGTGAGATGGTCGTTCCGGCTGGAGACTCCACGCGCTGGCTTCGCCGCCGTGGAGGCTCTCCAGCCGGTCATCGCCGAGTGGGCAGGGCGGCAGCACGGGACCCTTTCCTTCCGGCTGACGCAGGTGCTTTCCGGGCACGGTTGCTTCGGAAAGTACCTGTACTCGGTCGCTAGGAGGGAATCGAGTCCCGCCTGCCACCACTGCGACTGCGGTGAGGATTCGGCCCAGCACACGCTGGCGGTCTGCCCCGCATGGGCGACGCAGCGCCGGGCCCTCACTGCAGTCATCGGAGCAGATCTCTCGCTACCGGCCGTAATTCGCTCCATGGCCGGTAGCGACAGTTGTTTTACCGCGGTCGCAACCTTCTGCGAGGAGGTAATCTCGCAGAAGGAGGCGGCGGAGAAGGCCCGGGAGGACGACCTCCACTCGGACCTGATCCGCCGCCGGCGAACCGGGCGGCGGAGGCGCGCTCACCTGCGCCTCATGCCGCCCTGAGTGTGGCCGCGGGTGGACGGGATGGGTTCTCCCCTCCACCCGCATTAGTTGGCCAGCCGCGAGGGGGCGGCGTCCGCGTGTGCCGGACGCCGCCTAAAGAGAGGGTCCACTGAGACGGAGCCCGCGTCAGGAGCGGGCCGGCGCTGGGAGGGGTCCAGAAGGAGATAGCTACCTGGATCCCTCCTAAACTGGAAGCGCAAAGAGGACACACCGTGTGGTTTTAGTCGGTTCGAGTCCGACACACCGCCCCGCCGAACGAGAGCCCCGGCGGGGTGACGGTCCGAGGGGATTTCCACACGTAAAAAAAAAAAAAAAAAAGGATTTGTGTCAAGTTCTCTTTGCAGTGCTGTTGTTCTGCGTAGTTTTCTCCCTTAGTCGGCTCTTACGACACCCACGGGATGAATAGGGGTGGTGACACTCAGTATTCTTAATCACCACACGGAAACTTACACTTACACTCGCCAATCCATCTGTATAAACGATATCCCTTTCCTATTTACCTTTCTACATAGTCTAAATTTTAACCATCTAGTTGACGTCAGCAGGACGCCCCTGCCTACCCTTTCATGGATATATCGGGAATGGCGTTACCTGAGTGGTTGCTGACGGCGTACAGGTTGTAGACGGGTTGGTTGCCGCGGGTTGCTGTGTAGGGGGACATGTCCAGTCCGTTGAGAGGGAACTCCACCAACACGTTCAGTTTGCCACGGAAACGTTCTGTTGGAGAAAATCTGTGGGGAAAATGAGAAAGAGACATTATATTTAATGTCTGAAGCCTCCATTTCGTTTCCTCCTCCTCCTTCTCGGCGACCCATGACGTGGTGACGCGTCGCTACGTTAGCAGCTGGTTGAACCCTCCCCCGCATTAGATTTTTCACATAAATATTTTTTTCTAATAATTTTTAAGATCCGTCAAAAAAGTAAGTCATACAGATTTAAATCTTTTTGCCCTTGGATTTTCAAAGTCAAAATCAAAATCATGTCAGGTTCCCTACTGAGGAGGAGCGTGTGTCATGTCCTTCTAACACAAACGGAGTATCATTCGAGCAAGCGAGGTCATGCCTGGGCGGCCGCGGCCCAACGATTGATGTTGGGAAGTTGTATATATGCTAATCGGCGAGAGAATTCTTCATATCGCGATACAGGATTAGCAGTCACTCTGTAGTTCGGTTTTGTTAGACGGCGCTATAGTATATTTTTTGTTTCACCGTCTGTGGAAGTCGCCACAGTTATTTTATTATTTTTTAATTATTTGCGTCGACTCAAAAGTCATAGATCAACACACAATAGCAACCAACTGTTTTGTCAAATATTTAGCAAAATAAATAATGTTATACCTATCGAAAATCCAACGTATGCCTTTGTCGATCTACAACCGTCCGTCTTCAAGTGTTTGAGCCTTATAAGAAGAAAGGGCAACAAACTCACGGCCACTGACCGAATAGTCACATCACAAACATGAATGTGTGTTAATAAAATAAAAAACAAGTTTCGAAATCTTTTTTTTTAATATAGTTTTCATCGTGTGGAAGTGGACAATAAATTGTTTCTTATCCATCAGGGGAGCCATGCTTCGGCACGAATAGACCGGCTCGAACGGAGTGATACCACGGCCTCACAGAAAACCGGTGTTAAGCAATTCTTTCGTTGCCTACTGAGTAAGTGAAGTTACCGGAGCCCAAATCCTCCCTCCCGCTGACTCGAGCGGGAGGGACTCCAAGGGCAGCAACGCACTTGTGACTTTTGAGTTGCAGGTGTTCATGGGCGACGGATTTGCTTACCATCGGGTGATCCGTCTGCTCGTTTGCCCCCTTTTACCAAAAAAAAAATTTTTTTTTAAGTTTCAAAGGAAGAATCATTCCAGTTTCGAAAGAAGAATTATTATTCTCATTTCTAAATTTGGTTTCGTGGCTGGCAGAAGGGAAATATTTATGGTAACAAAAAACTAAGTTACCTCTTTAGATGCAGCACAAGTACTTGTGGAAACTTCTGGACGGTGAACCATTTGAGGCACTTTCTGCGAACTCCGCACTTTGAACACGTCTGGAAACAAACATTATGTTTAAAATACTCTACTACAAGTATTTAAGGTATGCATATCTATACTAATATTATAAAGCTGAAGAGTTTGTTTGTTTGAACGCGCTAATCTCAGGAACTACTGGTCCGATTTGAAAAATTATTTCAGTGTTAGATAGCCCATTTATCGAGGAAGGCTATAGGCTATATATCATCACGCTAAGACCAATAGGAGCGGAGCACCAATGAAGAATGTTTAAAAAACGGAGAAAATTTATTACTATTGAGACGCAGACGAAGTTGCGCGGGTCAGCTAGTCTATTCTTCTGTGCGTATGTGACTGAACTCCTCCTAAACGGATAGATTATGATGATTTTTTTGTGTGTTCATGTGGATTTGAGAATGGTTTTGATTTACAATTCGGTCAACTACAAATATTTTTTTTAGTTTAAGACGTGTGTACAGGAATATATATTATAGTAGCTGATAGGAGTAGTGGTTTAAGTGGTCGCCACGCCGCTTCATACTACGCTGAGTGTTGTGGGTTCGATCCCCACATGGGACGACACTTTGTAGTGTTCTTTGTATTCGTTTCATGTATGTTTGTTAAGTCCCCCGCGACACAGGATATATTCCTAGTGCGGGTGTAGTCTTTAAAAATAAAAAATCTAAATACATACATCATCAACAGCCTTTACTAGTCCACTGCTGGACATAGGCCTCTTCTTAGAAAGGAGGTTTTGGCCTACTATACCACGCTGGTCAGACGGGTTGGTATAGGATTTGTGTCAAGTTTGCCTTCTATCTGCAGTGCTGTTGTCCTGCGTAGTTTGCTCCTTTAGTCGGCTCTTACGACACCCACGGGATGAATTAGGGTGGTGACACTCAGTATTCTTAATCCGTCACCACACGGAATACATACATATGATACATAAATTACACCCAGACAGAGATTAAATGATTGTCAAACGAATCGATCGATCACCCAAAATTTGTCAAACGAATCGATTACCTCTACCTTAGCAGTAAGCCACTAATTCTTAACACTCAACTAATCTTAGAGCTGGTAGCATATTGACTCACTAGTGAAGACGCTATTAAGTGGTTGCAGGTTCAAACCCCACTTATTACACTTAACAAAGTTAGCTAGAGGGTTAACAAGAATACTAGCAATAAACTGACTGCATGGATAGGGTAGGACTTGTTCCTGCTGCCCTGAGGTGGTTCAATCCCCACATGGGACTACACTTTGAATGATCCACAAATTGTTGTTCTGAGTCTGGGTGGTCTTTGTGTCCGTTTCATGTATGTTTGTTAAGTCCCCCGCAACGCAGGATATCTAATTTTATTTTTTTGTTAACAGGGTGGAATTTCTCTTCAGATCTCCTGTTCCTCGGGGACTCAAGAGCCAGGAGTATGTGGTGATTCTACTAAAAACCACCCCGACGGCCGTCCTCAGGTGTACTCTGGGAGGACCCGGACCAGCAGGATATATACCTCATGCGGGAGTTGTCTTAACAATACAAGAGTGACATACCGGTTTTTCATCACCGTCAAGTTCTTCCTCCCTGGTGAAGTGCTGCAAACATTGCTGCAGCTTTAGGTTCCCAGTGCGGCATGGGATTGGAAGACTGGAAACAATATAATTATTACTAACAGACTGTTTATTTAGTACAACACTATTCCTAAAGGCTTACTCTAGTGTTCTATTAAATTACCATCCTTAGTTTTTTTGAAGTGGAAACTTGTTCAGGCGCATTGGGCATTTTTGAAGAACAAACAAAGGATTGTATTTTTTGAGTTCGGAAAAAACCATTGTACTCAGGACACTGTTACCGTTACCGACACCTCTGTATATAAGTATCTACATATATTGGCCCCGTTTACACGAGAGTTGAGTTTGGGTTGAAATACATTGATAATATAACTATATATAATATATACGTACAACACAGATATATATTCATTTTAGTAAAAACAATTTTTAACGAATCGAAAAAACTTCTGTCGGCACTCCCGCAGTGCCACTGCTTTTTTTTTATTATTTTTTTTGTAAACGATACCTGCTAGCTAGTGATGTATATCGTGAAATTGTATCCATTACACCAAAAAACAACTCTTTATTAATTTATAAAACTTGATCCGATAATTATACAACAATTTTATTTTTTATTTTTAACTATATCTTTCTTTCACTTCATCTGCTGCCTTTAAAGCAACTATAAAAAATTCATTTCAAAAATTAGTAAAGTATTAGTATTAATATAATAATTAGTAAAGTAAAGTATAGTTAAACCGCCGTAAGCTTGGCCCTCCTGATGGTTTGGGGGACGCGGGGCGGGGGTGCATTCAACCAATTAGCTAGTGCGTCGCTGTCCGCCGGCAGTGACTGACGTGAAAGCATGGCTGTATGTGTTATTTTTCTTGAGACTACTACACACGGTATTATTTTGCAACATGGATAATCTGCCGACTCTGCGTCACAAAAAGATTTAAAAACTTGAAGTTCGGCTTACAGAGGTTCTACTGTTAAAAAAATATTTATTATTTTACTTAATTTTTAAATTATATCTGAATATAATTTACATGATGAAGATAAGGTGATTTTATTAAAATAATTTTACAGTATTAAATTTTACAATTAATCATAAAAACTTACAATACACTGACATTATAATACATAAAAATAAATTCGATTTTTATTACATCGTGTGTAGATTAAATCTTAAACAAATAAATCTGAAGATATCGAGTTAGTACATCGTGTCATGTATAGCCGAGCGCATCACCCGCCCCGCGTCCCGCAAAACATCAGGAGGGCCAAGCTTTCGGCGGTTTAACTATAATTATTAGTAAATTGGTAATTAGTGTTGGAAAGACGTGAAAGAACAGCTATACCTGAGATCCCAGAAAGGGTCGAAGGTGACGCTGTCGTGGTTACAGTGGGTGCAGCGCAGCGTGGACTTGAGCTGTCCCATGAAGATGTCTCCCACGCGGCTGTCCTCCATGCGCAGGTAGCGGCTCCACGCCTCCGTGGCTTTCGCTGTATCGCTGGAACATAATATACTGACTGTTACACTATTCCTACTGCGCTGAGTGATGTGGGTTCGATTCCCACATGGGACAACACTTAAGTCTGAGTGTTCTTAGTGTCCGTTTCATGAATCTTTGTAAAGTCCAAACCCAATTATAGCATATTTTTTTATTAGCAATATATGTGCCAGGTTAATTCCAATAGGCCCGTTTCCTATTACGCAAGTGGGACCTTACTCCGTCTACTCCTCCACGATAAAGACTTTAGTGTATCATCATCAATCAACAGCCTTTACTAGTCCACTGCTGGACATAGGCCTTTCCTTAAAAAGTTTGTCTTTAGCGCTTAAATATAATAAAATATACTCCATTCGCGTTAAGAAAATAGTGACGCATCTGTATCAAACTAGAATTTCTTAGAACCTGATTGGCCAGGGGACGGGATTTGTTCAATGTGTCACTATTTTCTTAACGCAAATGGACTATAATAATACCTTGACCCATCTCACACACGGCCGTCTGATCCCAAACTAGGCACAGCCTGTACTATGGTAACCAAACCGGTGATAAATAAATATATACTAAATATTTCTAAATACATACATGTTATAGATAAATTCCAGACACAACAAATAATAATAATATAATAATCACACAGAACACACTGACACACAACGCTATCTAGTTTCAAACTAAGCAGAGCTTGTATTATAAAAGCTAGATACTTTTATACGTTTTTCGTACATATTATAAATAGAAAACGCCCAAACTTCCGAAAAAACTATTTGCAGATCATACAAACATTTGATCCGAGCCGGGAATCGAACCCGAGACCTCAGCACAGCAGCCGCATACACTACCACTGCAACACCGAGGCAGTCACAAAGATCGTGCTCATCACATAATTATTTGTCACTTTATAAATGTCATACCTTAGATTGTCGTCGATTTCAGTGAGTATAGGTTTTGGTTTAACGGTCACCCGGTTCACATCCTCGTGTAAGCCTTCCAGCAGATAACGGAGGAACTCCTGGCAAAGAAACAGACACCACATTTAATACCTTTGTTAATATAACTTTTAATCTTTCATAAATAAAATTATTATTTCGGGAATCAAACGTCGGTTGATCGAAACGTCAGTAGGAAGCGGTTAGGTGACCGCTTACACCACTACGCCATCCGTAGTCTACTGCTGGACCTCTTCTTAGAAAGGGGGTTTTGGCCTACTATACCACGCTGATCAGACGGGTTGGTTGCCCGTCTAGTTTTCACGTAGTATTTTAATAAATACGGTTTAAAATAATTTTTTTGAAAATTCCGAGATTACCCTAGAGGATATTGACTCTGTGGCGAAAACCTAAAGTGACCAAGTGTGCTATTTTGAAAACCCTTCTGCCCTCACCATTAATGGGTCATGTAGTCTGGGGACGTTCCCTTACGTTTGGGACTAAATCACAGTTAACAAAGTGTGTGTTGCAAAGGCTGCGTTTCCACCAGAGATGTGCAAGGTGGCTGAGCGGTGCGCGGATGCCTTGTTTTGCATATACAAAAATCTCGCTCCGCTAAGTAGGTTATACCAGAGCTGCGCTGAGCACACAACAAACACATCTCTAGCTACACATCCTTGCATATCTCTGGTGGAAACGGAGCCTTATTCACCTCTATCAATACCCTGTAGATAAATAAATAAGTCTTAACAATCATTTATTATATTCCCTATAAGTACTGACCTGTGCGTCTTGTTGGCTGTACCCCATGAACCTCGGCGCAAACCGCTGAACCTGGGACTTCAGAGATGTTGTGTTCACGACAGAATCACGCTCGCCGCTGCGCCACAGCTCCTTGATGACGCTCGCGAAAGCTACAACAATAAATCATTCTGTATTAAGCATAATTCAGTTTATATGACCCTCAGTCAGGTCATTTTTCATCAACGCAGAGGCTAAACCGGTGGGGCTACAAACTTGAAGTTTTCACTTTACAAACATACATGAAACGTATACAAAGAACACCCAGACTCAGAACAACAATCTGTAGATCACACAAAGTGTCGTCCCATGTGGGGATTGAACCCACAACACTAAGCGTAGTAGTGAGCGGCGTAGCGACCGATACAACCACTACGTCATCCGTGCTCTTAATAAAAAGGGCCGACTCGACCGGAGTAACACTATAGCTTCACAGAAAACCGGTGTTAAGACGTTCTTTCGTTGCTTATCACCGAGATAGTGAGGTAACCCGAGCCCAACCTCACCCCTCCTTCTAGTTCTAAGTGGGGGGAGCTATTGAGTTGAAGGTATCAGGTGCCATCAGATGACCCGTCCGCTCGTTAGCCCCCTATTCCGCTTATCCCAAATTGAAATTTACCACGAGCAAAGCCACAAGCGAGATTTAGGATAACATAAACTACAGTAGCGCCATCTATGATTAGTTCCTTACCTCTGATCAAAGCACCCTTCATACAGCTCAACGTTGTGTTAATATCGTCAGAGAATTTCTCGTCGCTCACGTATTCGAGCAAGGGCCGTGTATTCGACAAACATTGAAGGACGCTGTTCATGAAGCACGTGTTCCCGATGTTGCGTAGTCCATTCAGACCTGGAAATGGATGGGTGGCAATTTAAAGTAACAAATAGTTGGATATCCTAGGCTGAGTATATTTCGTAAGATTTTTGAAGTAGGTTATCAAACTGTACTTTATTGGAGTTTAGTCCTGAAGGCCAAATCTCGTAATAAAAGTTCGATAAAAAAAATTGTAGTAAAATAGTAAAGTATTACTAAGACTAGGTTAGGGTAGGATTACCGACTCAATTTGTTGGTAAAAAAAAACGATTAGAGTCCACGTCGATTGTTTATTACTTTACTACTAAAATATCGTACGTATACGTATTTTTGCATGCTTTGTTCGATTGTTATACTGTACTATTGAGTCACTTAATTTGTATTGTTCAAAAAATGCTTGTACTTGAGTAACAATTTATTCTTCTGCGTTCTCTCTCAAATTTTTGCAATGCCTGGAAAAGGCTTCTAAGTTGGGACTACTACATATAATATTATAAGATCATTGATGTACACTTGGTTGGCAAATAAAGATTTGATTTGATTTGATTTATCTTTTATGACAGTTGTGAGATCGAGGGTTGATCGGAACTGAATTGTGACCGAACTTTTATTAAGAGAATTGGCCTTCAGATTACAGAAAAATGATTCTCGTCAGAATTAAAAGCTGGATTTGCCTCCTGCAGTTACTAGGATTTATCATCAAAATATCAGCCAAAGACCGTCCACTGTAAGCCTACCTATATCTTAAGCCGCGGGCCGCCAGAGAGTTGGGACCTCTGGCTACGGTATGGGATAGGATGGTGGCCGGATCGCATTTAAACGCTTTTGGGCCGCCACGGCGCGATTGAAGGGGGTTAGTCATTCAGGGTAGGGCGCCCGAGACTAGCCGTCGGGATGGTTTTTAATGGAATCACCACATACTCTTGGCTCCTGAGTCCTTAAGAAGCAGGAGATCGATTTTCCACCCTGCCACCACAAGCGTCACATCAAGATTTTTTTCATAACACGAAAACGAACCTGGTCAGTTGTACCAAGTATCTGTGATTTCAATGAACTTTTCCAAGACAAATTGAACTAATATCTGGGCAGGGTTTGATCGATGCGTCACTATTTTCTTAACGCGAATTTACTATAAAACCTTGTGTTACACTTTCCCAAACTCCCCCACTACCATCCCATATTTCAAATCTATTACAATGACAAGTAAAACAACTTGCATAATCAACTGACATAGGATTGTTATCTACTATTACTCGTATTAATGGTATTTATTTACGTTTATATATTATGTATTTATGTAAGTTTATATGTATTTAGGTATGTATGAACCGTATTGGGACTAATCCCTCCGTGTAACTCCTGTACACCAAGATTAACCGCATTGACCCACGAATTCACAGAGTTATGACACTCGAGAAGTCCCAGGAAAAAAATTAAACTGTCTTGGAACCCCCAACGAAATTAATCAGATGAAAATTGGAGGAGTTGGAAATAATGGGGTTTGAGTGTGTACCGTATGATTGTATGTATAATGTGTATGGGTTCTAGTGTATGATACGTTTATGTACCCAATTCCTGTTTTCTCTGCCTCACCCAATGGTCGACTGGCAGAGAATGTCTTAGGCATTAAGTCCGCCAATGCACCAAAGTGCATGATGTGTATTTACATAAATAATATTGGTAATAACTTACCACTAGTGTGACTTGGCTGTTTCTCCGTACGTCCCTCAGTCAGAGAGTCAGATCTGTCTGTACTCCGCCGGAGGCCGCTAGGCCCGCTCTTACCGCCGGCTAACTCCTGCCGATTACATCATAATTTACATGTGAACTTGCGACATTTTTGTGGCTGCGACTTTTCGTCGTGTCGATTTTTAAGCGATGCGACTTTTTCTTGGAGATATTTTATGTCCTGTTTGCTTTTTTATGAATCTATTTATATTTTGACGGATTGGGAACAAATACGATACATGTCTGTCTGTATGTCTACTTGAAAATCTAATAATAATAATAATCCACATCCTGAGCTGAGCATGTGCTATGGTAACCAGACTGCTGATAAACATACTTAAATATTTCTAAATACAAATACATTATAGATAAACTACACACAGACACAGAGCAAATGGTCGTGCTCATCACACATTTGTCTTGGGTGGGAATCGAAACCACGACCAATGGTTTAGCAGTCAGGGTCACTAACCACTAGACCAACAGGCCCGTCATATATGTGATAATTTATTTTATCGTTAAAATACTTATTGGTTTAGTCAAATGTATGATAATATTTAAAACCAACATTTAACTTAAGAAATAGTACCGAACATTTTCTGCTAAAAACATAAGTCAATCTTAATTTTACGTGTTTATACATGATTATTATTATAAAAGTAAACACCAGATCTTACTAATACAAAAATCATCCAAAATCAATTATTGGTCTTCTGTACAAAATTTGATCCCTTTTTTTGGTACTTTCAAGTTATATTATCAACAAATAACATTTTAAATTATTTAGTTTCTATAACGTATTATTATTAACAGGACAGAGATGTAAAGTGTTTACATTATTGTGACGTCACATTCATAAAAAAGCAACACTGACTAAAAATAATTACATGGCAACATTATAACTTTAACGTCAATACGCATGCGCCAGTATAAAGTAGGAGAAAAAAGAGACGGGACGTTTTGATCGACGGATTTATAGGATTTATGGAGGGTAGCTTTAGGAGCAACCATCTAAAATGGGGGGAAAGCAAAGTATCCAGCTTAAAGTGGTATGATAATTCTAGACCGACCAGAATGGCGCTAGTGTAGGCAAAGGAGTGAAAAATTATGAAAAAAAAAAAACGTAATTGACAATTTGAGGAGTACCGTCTTCTGAAGATAAATTCTGAATCCAGGATGAAAGTATGCTTATAATAGAAATGAATTGCCATCGGGGATTTAAATTTATAAAGTAACTTCGTAGGACCAGAACAAGTGGTTTTAAATCAGTCTGCTAAATTTGAAACATAATGAAACATTGCATGTTAAACAAAAATTTAATAAAATGTCACTTTGTATTTTATAATTTTTTTATGTTAGAGGGGGCAGACGCGCAGACGGGTCACTTGATGGAAAGTGACCACCGCCGCCAATGAATGTCTGCAACTCAGGAGTCACAAACGCGTTGCCGGACTTTTAGGAAGGAGTACGCTCTTTTCTTGAAGGTTTGAAGGTCGCATCGGTCCGGAAATAAATTTAATATATGTAGTTTGGATGACAATACTATAATATGGTACGAGATGCTAGCTTTTGCCAGCGATGTCGTCCGCCTGGTGGCCGACATCAGAAATCGTAGAGCAGGGATTCCCAAAGTGGTTGATATCGACCCTTGGGGTCGAAATTGGTTTCCCAGGAGTCGAAAACTGATTTTGGAGGTCAACTAGGACGAGTCGAGGACTTTTAAAAAAGAGTATTTACTGTGAGTTTGAAAACGCTACTTTTAAAAACGAGGTTTCATCTAAATTCCCAACCTCCCTTTTGGCCCCTTGTAGGTGGAATTTTTTTAAATCCTTTTTTAGTGCACACCTACGTCACCTAAGGTACATTTGTGTAAAATTTCATTCTTCTAGACCCAGCGGTTACAGCTGTGCGTTGATCAATCAGTCAGTGAGTCAGTCTGTCAGTTTCTTTTTTTTTTAAATATAAATACATTGACGTTAATTTCATGATGGATACAAGAGATGAAGATTTGAGCTCTCAAATTTGCTTAGATTGTTATTTATAATCAATTATAATTAATTTTTTTTTCTTTCTCCTTCTTAATTATCAATAACTGTGCGCTTTTCGAGACACTTTTGCCCCGCACAACCAATTTGTGGAACGGGTTATCGTCTGCGGTATTTCCGGACCGATACGACCTTCAAACCTTCAAGAAAAGAGCGTACTTTTAATAAAAGGCCGGCAACGCGTTTGTGACTCCTGAGTTGCAGACGTTCATGGGCGGCGATAGTCACTTTCCATCAGGTGACCCGTCTGCTCGTCTGCCCCCTCTAACATAAAAAAAACTATTCCTTTAGCTACAGTAGCGCCATCTACATACACACTTGGTGGAAGACATTTGAATTCACAAAGATGGTATTTTTATATCTACCCTCCAAAACAATACGGTTTATAAAACGCAAAACACACGTGAGTGGATCTTAAAACGTGCTGTAAAAGATCAACAAAGCTCTCAATACACAAATTATTTAAGCTTTTAGTACATGGTAAATCAAAACATAAAAAAAAAACAATCTGTCTCATTCCATCCCATTACAAATTTAATAAGAGGAAATAAGGCAGCTATACATAAAAGAAAAAATTGGAATAACTATTCTATGTAAATATAAAAAGTGGTTTCGTCATACAAAGCTGGCTATTTACTTACCGTTTCAAGACAGTTTTCAAAATAAGCAGTTTAATATTTAGTACTCTGAACCTTAAGAAGAAGTGCAAAAAGAATAAAATCTAAAATTACTATTAATATTTTCCGCTAAAACGCTGTGACATCTGTCAAATAAGTTTGATTACGTCACTAACCGATAAACAGAACTGCATACGGTTGTAAGTTAATAAATTATGTAGGTAATATTGCATTGTGCATATAAATAAGTACGTAATGTGTATTTTTCATTATATAAAAAGGAAAACGAAAATACAGGTCTCTAGATTTAGTCACCCCCCCCCCTAAAGTTTAGGGGGAGGGGGCAGGTGGAGCAATTTGAGAACTGCTTAATACCAGTTTTCTGTTAGGCCATGGCATCACCCCGGTCGAGCCACCCTAATTAAAACAATTGGATTCATCCATTTATTTTTAAAAGTTATATAAATTTAGGAGTAAATTAAGATTACCATACGTAAGGAGACAGGTTATTGATGAAGGTTAATAAATAAAACCAGAACCAAAATTAGTACATTAATACTCTTAAAGATGCTTCAATGGATAAAATCTTGGATTAAGGATTAAAGTGGAGATAAGAGCTCAAAATGATCCATGATTTTAGTGGGTAGAGGAATGCTTTTTGGGAACAAACCACTCAATAAGTCTGCTATCACACGAACTGCACGCATGCAGTTGATAAAGTATCAACTGATTTATTTAATCTATTCTTCTTTCTTTCCCATTCAAATCTTCGAACTTGCGATCATTCACTTTACTTCTTTTTTTTGTACATATGGAAACCACATCGGCCCGTTACGTTACGTTACAGGTGTTCATGTGTGGTTGATGTGTAGGAATCAAACCAACTAAAACCAGACGGTTTAGCATACTGTGCCTATAGAGATCCGGAAACAGCTTTTATTAAGACAACCTTTTAGCATGGAACTACTCCCAATACAAGGATTTAACTTAATTGGAGGGTGTGAATGGGAAATGTGGGCCTAACATTTGTTAACTCACAAATTATGACGTTAATAGCAATAAGCTATTTGTTCTACTTACTAAATTTTAATAGGTGACTGTACGCGTGTTCAAAAGATTACCTTATTAAAGGCAGACAAATAGCTACTCTCGAAGCTACGCAATTAAGTATAAATTCGTTCATCAACAATTTACACCAAAAAAACGTCTCTCTTAGCTCGTGCAAGCTAATATGAGACCTATCTTTACACGTTAGAGTTCTTTTGCTCCAACCGCGTGTTGTACTTAAGATCAATTGATATTATTAGATGACTATGTGGCAGGTACTAGATGTATTTTTGAAAACAAGAGCGGCAGTAACGTATTTGGTAGTTTAGAGAAACTGCCTCAACATAATGAAGTATGAAAAGCAAAACGCATAAGTTCACCTAAAAGTACAGTTCTCGACAGATATTCACATCACGTATTATCAACAGCCTTTAATGGTCCACTGCTGGACTTAAGTCTATCCTTAGAAAGGAGGTTTTGGCCTACTATACCATGCTGGTCAGACGGATTGGTATAATAGGATTAGTGTCAAGTTTGCCTTATCTTTGCAGTGCTGTTGTCCTGCGTAGTTTGCTCCCTTAGTCGGCTTTTAAGACACCCACGTACATTGATATAATACTTACATAGATGAGTAATTACCGCCTAAAATCGTTGCTACTGCACATATGTCCACAGGCATATGCGTAGCAAACGTCAATTCATTATTCAATGTGGCGTCAACCGAGTTGAACATAGCGACACATGACAGTAACAATCGCCAAAATGGCTAAATGCGTAGTGAAAGAATGCGATTTAAGGTCACAAAACATTAATAAATCATGCGGAATTACTTTTCACGTGTAAGTTTATGGTTTTTGTATTGATAATATCGTAAATAAGGCTATAATTGAAATAAAACACTGATAATTGTAATCTAGAATCAGTGTTACCATTAAAAAATCATTTTGGTTTTCCCACATTAGTGGGAGAATTTATAATTTATGAAATAATATGCTTTATACTGTTTTTAAACATTTTGCCAATAATAATAAAATATAGGAAGAACGGTAGTTGCTAGGGCTGGACCGATCCCTTTTTTTAGGGACCCGTTGAACGTTCACTGCGAGCTTGGTAGAAGTGCCAAGCTCGCAGTGCTGGAGACTTTTGTACAAAAAAATTAATTCATTGTTTTTCTTAATTTATTATCAATTTTAAATAATAATTGTACAAAATAATAATAATAATAATAAATATTTATCATAAAAATAAAAATATAAAATAAAATAAACATAAATAATTTTTTTTATAAAATAAAAATATTTTTTTTTTTTTTATTTGTTTTTTAAATTATAATAGAATTTGCAATACACCCTGGGGATTAT